ATGGTCCTGTTCAAACTATTGGTATAAAATTAGAAGCCCTAGAATACCTAGAATATCATTATATGCTTAAACATTAAGATTTGTACTCATGGAAATTACTAAAGTAGTTCATTAGAGCAATATAGTGTACAAGCCAACTTAGCTATTCAAAATCTTTGTCTGCAATTTAATAATATTGACCTATTACTTTTGCTATTGCTTTTGACCATTAGGTATCAGTAACATAATTCACTCAGAACCTTTTCTATGGACATAGACTTTCTGTACCACACTATTCTGCTGATATGGAATGAGTTTGACTACTTAATCAGTTATATTAATAGAAATGCTTCACTGGGGCAAACAAAAAAATCCTAAAATAATAAATAGGATACCTCATAGCAGCATTTCCAGCAGTATCCAACATTTCTCACTCATGAATCGTCCGGCTTAGTTTGCCCCCCCCAATCGAAAACATCTCTAATTTGACAGTTTACCATCTGATCTCACTCAGTGACTCTAGGCTAAGTAGGATGGGACGAAACCATGCAGTGAATGGGGGGAGTTAATTTTGCCGGAAATGCAGAGATAAGCCGGAATTTTGTTTGGTAGATACATTTATGATTTCTATTACATATTTACGTGACAAAGGCATAGCTAGCTAGCAACCTCTAGGCTGTAGTAACGAATGGCAGTAACTCGCGATTGAGCGGGCAAACCACTGCGCTGTAGTTATTAGGTGTGTTCGACTTGAAGCAGGGCTGTGCAGAACGATCAGTGTATGACACGAGAGCGATTCGAAAGCACGAGGAGCCGTCTGCTCTCTATAGCTCTGTACTTTAATGTCACACACGGATCGATCTGCGCAGTGCTGCTTCAAGTCAAACACACGTCTTTTAGTGTTAGATGAATGTCTTGGGGAAAAAACTGTTTAGAAAGCCTCACAATATTTGCCACAATGCCATAATTTTCACACGGGTATATTACGTGCATTCAGATGAACTATACCATTAATACCACCGTTTTTTGTTTTTAACTAAAAAAAGACAATGAAACTGAATTTTTTTTCAGTTCGGTTGGTCTGATAGTCTTGAATCCCCACAATTCAGTACTACATACTTCAGAGTCTTTGTAATGTGTTTCTGCAATACATTTCTAACATTTATAATGTGTTTAGAAACAATTCTCAGAATTCTCTTTACACGGACTTTAAAAACAGGATTTTTGCCGTTTTTATGTAGGTAAATTTAAGACTCTTTTCGAGACCAAGTAAAGAAAATGTAAGGAATAGATTGAAGGGAACGCAATATGTTCTCTTATGAGTCATTTTCACCGAGCGGTACGATTCAGTACGAAAATTGTGTGCTGTTTATAATATTCCATCAATATAACATTATAGCTCTCAAGTTGCCCAACATTAGTGTCATTGTAGCCATGTGAGTGCTGATGTCTTTAAACATGAACCCATTTGTATTTAGATTACATGGAGCGGTGCTTCTCATCCAAACACATTCAGTGAGGAAGAGCACTGGCAGGTAGGTTCGTAATGGAGTCACAGACAGCCTCATTCTGTTTTTGTAAGTCCATATAATGCTTATTTATTGTTTAGAAGGAGGATGTGGCTTCTGATGAAAGTCTGAAGGAGTTTGAGGGAGCGACTCTACGTTATGCCTCCATCAATCTCAGGTATAAGATCAGTTAAACAACAGACTCGTGAAGCTGAGTGTTTCACAGTATTATGCCACATGTACATTTACATATCACATTTATGAATTGGGCAGACGCTTTTTATCTAAAGCCACTTACAGTTCTTGGTGATCGAGGCCATGATCTTGGCCTTGTTTGTGCCAGGCTCTGCTGTTTGAGCTAAAGGAGCATTGACCCTTCTCTCTGTGTCATCTTCCTGTTGTGTGCAGTTTTTCTCAGTCTGAGGAGGAAGAGGAACAGACCTATTTCAGCAGCAATGAGGGGGCAAAGGTAAGCACACAGGTGACTGACCACATACACTACATCAAGATGCTTGTTTTCTCAATGTTTGCTTATGTGTGTTTTGCAGTGTTTTGCAGTGCGCTCTCTGGGCTGGGTGGAGATATCAGAAGAGGAGATGGCTCCTGGCAGGAGTAGTGTTGCCGTTAATAACTGTATCCGACAGCTGTCCTACCAGAAACACAATCTAGATGACACCGCTGGCATCTGGGGCGAGGTTTGTGCATATATGTGCAAATCACTAGAATTTGAATGAATGAAAGTCACATTGGCTGTGTTTGGTAGCCGGGTCCCCGCTGGTCCCTGAAAGGTCTTAAAATGTCAGAGCTATAGCTTCATTGGCAGCGTTATGGTTCGGGATGGGTATCGTTAAGGTTTTAATTGCATTGCTGCTTGTATGATACTGCTTATCAGTCTGGTACTTGAACAAAAATTTGTATCGGTTCTTTTTGTTTTCACAAAAAAAAAAAAATGAAACCATTTAAGAACACAATTAAAAACAGAAATAACATTGCTTTATTTTCTAAAAGTTAAGATAAATAAAATAATTATCTTTAGCAAAATAAACAGCAATGTAGGACTATCTAATGCTGTTCTTCAGAAAAATCCTCCAGGTGCTGCTCATTCTTTGGTTTTCCAGCATCTTCACATTCACTGATGCTCAAGAAGGCAACGTGATGCATTAAGAGCTGGGGGTGTAAGAACAGTTATTGTTCACTGGTGTGGACGCAAATATTGTTCTTGGTGTGAACATAAACCTTAACACAAGTCTTAAATATCATTTTAAGAGGTCTTAAATTTGGGGATGGAAAAACAAGAATCACAAAATGGCCTTAATGTGATTTCAAAATTTCGAAATGCTGTGATGTAATTGAATAAATGTGAGCGCTGCACACAGAACCGTTGTGAGGGCAGTGTGAAGCGTGCCTCATGCTCACACTCCCAAACTCCCCCCAAGCTTTTGACGGCTCTGGCTAGACGTGTAAAGTCACCATGAAATCAAAATTGACTGTTCTTAATTTATTTAATGGAATATTGCAGTGTTTATTATAAATGATCTATCCGTGTGCATCACGGTAATTTCAATTTCGATTTCATGCCGACTTTAAAAGTAAAAATGCTGTACTGTTGCACTTTCTCACGTATTTCAGCTTTATAATTAAGTCCTGCATTATGAATAAAATCTACTTTTCTGGGTATTGTTGGCATGTTGGTTACACAATAAACTTTCTAGCATACAAGAGCAACCAGGCAAATTCAACCGTTAATGCTTTCAGTATATAGATTTCACTAGTATTGGCATAGTCTGTTTATTGCCCTTCTTTAAATGCATTTTTATCATATCAGGAAAATCCTATATCTGCCACTAATTAGTATATTGGTACATAAACCAATTTCGATACATATGGATATACTGAATAAAACCATGTTTTAAGTATTTTAAAAGTCCTCTTTTGTATGGACTAGGGCTGTGCAATTAATGATATTGCCTAATTGTCAGTGAACTACGGCTCTGTGTAGTGCATGCCGCTCCATCTGAAAGCATGTGATGGAGATTTACTACTAATCACTGGACCGGCTTTACTGACGAGATGCGCATGATAATCGCATGCGATTAATTGCACAGCCCTAGTATGGACATACATAATTTTATTTGTGAAGCTCTTTCTTAAGTCTTAAATATGATTTTAAAAAATCTGCAGATACCCTGGATAGGGGTATTACTGTTATTATAGTTATTTTTGCTGGAAATTCAAATGATTTATGTATTACTTATTTTCTTTATTTTTTTTTATTTACCTTATTTTTCTTATTTACTTCATATTTGATGGAGACAATCCAAAAGATAAGATTATTTATAACAAGCAAGTCTATAACAGTATCTTTCGCAGTTTAATGCGCTTTTAATAACTCCCTTTAAAATAAAGCATGCCCCACAGTAGATCGCATTTTATGGCAGTCATTACATGATTTGACTGATTTTGATGTTAAGTTTAGGCTTTTAAGAAGAGGCGAAAAGCGCACCACTTAGTATGCCTTTGTGTGTGTTGCTGTGTAGGGGAAGGAAATGCTTCTGGTGCTGGAGAATGAGACTCTGAACCTGATCGAGCCTCGCGGTCGAACGCTGCTGCACTCTCAGCCGATCATCAGCATTCGTGTGTGGGGCGTCGGACGTGACGATGGCAGGTAAGTCTGTGAGCAGCTCCGTGAGTTGCCAGCATAAGTGATCTTTAACCTTTCTTTTGCCTCATTTTTGTTTTGGAATGAGAGATTTATAACATGTATATGATCATAGACTGACAGATGCACAATGTTACAGGAAATTAAGTGGCTTTTACGTTGAATTTAATCAATTTTGTAGCAACAGTGATGCTCTGTCTGAAGCTGCTTGTTTTTAAATAATTTAGATTATGCTGAATTATTATGTTGTGTTTTTGTTCTGTCTGTCCTGCTGCATCCTGGACCCCAGGGAGAGGTAGTGTGTCGCTGTGTATTTGTTTATTTGTTAGATTTGTGTACTTATTACAATACCAGGCATAATCCACCCAAAAATGAAATTTCATAATTTTCACACCCTCATGTTGATTAGACTTTCTTCTGTCTAACACAAAAGGACAATTTTGGAGGAATGTTTATGTCGCTCTTTTACATTCAACGACTGTTCATTCATAGATACCACAGTTGTTAAGCTTCTACAAACAATGTAAATGTATCTCTTCTCTTTCTTCTGAATGCATGTGATGGCTTTATGTGAGGAACAGAAATTATTCACTGAAAATCTTCGCCTCTAGTGCAGCACTCAATATTATTTTCTGTTTTGCATGCCTAAACTGAATGAGATTTGAGAGCTTCAGATATAATGATATAACATGAGTCTTTTGGACTAATTTGGTACTTAAATTATTATTATTATTATTTTTTTTTTAGGAACTTAAAAATTGTGGTGACTATGAACTACTGTTGTCTGGAAAAGATCTGTGTAAAGATTCAAAATGTCACTAGGTTACATTGTGCATTTATTAGCATATTCATGAGATCATTGCATTGTATTTGCATTCTGCGTATTGTCAGCCCTTTACATCTGTCTGCTTCTTTTCTACTCTGTGCATATCATACTGTTAATGTGAAATAGTGACTGAATCATGGCCCATTAAGACTACATGTTAACCAGCAGTCACTTCCAGGTCATTTACAAGTTGCTGCTCTGTACTGCTAAAATACTGATTTGTCCACAGTGTTGTCTGAAGAAAAATACCATACACACGTTAAAGATAGTGGCGGTGCTGTGAAATATTTACATGGCTAGATTTACATGTAAAATTATCTCTAAGTTGACAGCAATGCAGAGCGCATCAGACTGTGTAATTAATTAAATTACTTTCTTTTGCCATTTGGTAATCACACTAAGCCATATTGTAATTTCAATTGAATGTATATTAATTGTCCAACCCTAGTTGACATAAACTTAAACTAATAATTATTTAAATATATCAACTTAAAAAATAAATATTTACAGTGAAAAAATATAATTAATGCCAAATTCACTTAGTTACTTGTCATTTTTGGAATAATTCTCTATAATTCCACAAACAAGTATTAGTGCAAACACAGGATGTTCCCTTTCATAGGTTTACTTCGGCACTGCATCAGCAGCTGACGCCAACACCCTCTGGTGTGATGATAGTCTGAAGCCTGTATAGAATCATGCCTGTTAATACCTGCAGATAGTACTAGCACCACCCACTGAGGCATTGCTTCACTGACACCTCATAAAGACGAGCTAGTGCTGTCTTAGACTGATTTCTCTTCAGGAAGACAATTCATCTGACAATGGATGCAGCATTATATTTCTGAATATGGATTTTGGGAGTTTTCTTGTATTCAGTGGTTCGCACTGAGAGGTCTTCGCTCAGTAGAGTGGATATGATAGCATTTGCGTCCACTACACCAGGGCTGTCCAAACTCGGTCCTGGAGGGTTTAGCTCCAACCCTAATTAAACACACCTGAAGCAGCTAATCAAGCTCTTACTAGGCCAGGGGTAGGCAAGTTCGGTCCTAGAGAGCCGCAGTCCTGCAGAGTTCAGCTCCAACCCTGAAAAAAAACTCACCTGCCTATAGCCTTAGTAATCCTGAAGACATTGATTAGCTTGTTCAGGTGTGTTTGATTAGGGTTGGAGCTGAACTCTGCAGGACTGCGGCTCTCTAGGACCGAACTTGCCTACCCCTGTACTAGGCATAGAAACTTCCAGTCAGGTGTGCTGAGGCAAGTTGGAGCTAAACTCTGCAGGACACCGGCCCTCCAGGACCGAGTTTGGACAGCCCTGCACTACACAATTAAGTCTGTTCCTGACTTAACTGTGTAGTTTATACTCAGCATAAGGCTTCTTGACCAGGTCCTGCTAAGGGCCATTCCAGATGCATTTGTTGGAAATGCATCCCTTTGGAGGCAGCTTCATTAATCGCAAAGCGCTTTGCTTCACTCATAAACTATTGTTTTGCAGCCTTTCCCTTTCTCCCTTTGAGTTGCAAGAGAAAGAAAGGTTCCATTTGTCCTGTTAGAGCTTTGAGGATTTATATCAAGTCAATGGCAGAAATCTGATCAGCTGTTTGCCCTCTTCGGTGGATGTTGCAAAGGTTTTGTAGCTACAAAACAGAGGATTTTGCTTTGGTGGAGGAATGTTATATCAAACTCCAGATGCTTGGTTTAAGCTTTTGTGCGCACTCTACAAAGTGCTACTTCTTCACAAGCTTTGACCTGAGGAGTATCGGTGGAAGATATCTGTGTGATGGCATAGCGTCAGCTACTGATGCAGTGTCAAAGTATACCTTTGAAAGGGAATGTCTAGGTTACATATGTAACCTTGATTCCCTAAATCTGGAACAAAACGCTGTGTAGCTGGCCATACTCCATGTCTGCTTGGTTTCCTTCATAGGAAATCAGTCAATGATGTAGAGTCCACGTCCTTAAGAGGCATCAGAGAAGCAACGCCTCAGTGAGCGGAGTTAGCACTATCTGCCAATAAAATAGTGTGATTCTATATGAGCTTCAGACGATCGTCACACCAGAGGGTGTTCCCATAGTGGCAGCTATAATGTAGCATCTCGTTCCCTACTCAGGGAACTAAGGTTTCACACACATCCAAGACGTTTATTGCTGTGCATGCACAAGTTTATGGGTGTGTGGATGAATTGAAGTGATATGACAACATGCATATGTTTATCTCTTACTACAGGGACTTTGCATATGTGGCACGAGACAAGTTGACTCACATGCTCAAGTGTCATGTATTTCGGTCTGACACCCCTGCAAAGAACATCGCCACTAGCCTCCATGACATCTGCTCTAAGGTGAGGACATCTTAGCTGCTGGCTAAAAATTCTCATATTCTTGATTAAATATCGAAGACCTTGTGCACTCTGCTGTGGCATCCAAAATATCTTGGATTTATTGAAACGGCAACGTTTCGGGTGTTTAAAGGGGATAGTTCACTCAAAAATGAAAATGCTGTCATTTACTCACCCTCCACTTAGAATAGAAGTAGAATAGAATATACATTCTGTGTCAACTCAACCAGAGGTCTCCGGCTCAAATTTTTGATTTTGCTAATATTTTTTCTGAAGTGAGATAAACACATATGGTGATGAAAGACAAAATATTAAATGTCATGGATGAATATTTACGGAGTAATCCACTATTTCGTTGAGGAGGGTCGAAATGGCAATTTTCTCTGGAGATTCAAAGACAAATTACAGGGGGTTAAAAATGACTTCAGAAAGATGACAGCATCCTTATGTTATTTTTACACAGATTGGTAGGTCTGTTAGTAAAATCTGTTGACTTTAGCAATCTTTGTTGTATTATGTGCCAATGGTGACCATTCAAAAATGGGGAAAGAGCACTTTTCAAGTTTTTTCTTCAAAGGCCTGTAACTCAAAAAGTATTAAATATATCTTAATGTCCTTTTAGATATTCTGTCTTAACAAACTTCCCTTTTGGCATCTTCATTTTTAAGGCCCTATATGGTTGAAATATTGGAATTTCAATGTCTCCAGGAGCAAATAGTTAAATTGTACACATTTTCAGTGGTCAAAAACCAAATATGGGTCACTTCAAAAATATGCTACTATTTTTCTTTTAAAGAGGAATGTCTAAAGAACAAATAATGTTGAAACTAGAAATGTATCTTGTTTCCTTCTGTCAAAACTGCATTGAACATACCTGAGTGCCATAAGTATTCTTTTTCCGAAGTTTGCGTACCTATAACTCAATGTGTTTTTTTAACTTTAAACCGCATAAACACATTTCATTACACCAAATACACAAAATAATGTTCTTTTTAGCAGCATCATATGACCCCTTTAAAGATATTGCAATATGATTTTAGATTCAAGTTCTTAATAAACTTTACTTTTGGAATCTTCCTTTTCAAGGCCCTAAATATTAATAATTTTTGAGTTGCAGGCCTGCAAACTTTGGGAAAAAATAGTTGAAGTGTGCTCTTTCCCCATTTTTGAGTGGTCACCATTGGCACATAATGTAAGATTGCTAAAGTCAACAGATTTTACTAATAGACCTACCAATCAATGTGTAAAAAATAATATAAGGATGCTGCCATCTTTCTGAAGTAATTTTTACCCCCCTGTAATTTGGTTCTGAATCTCCGGTGAAAATTTCCATTTCGAAACCCCTCTATAAAATAGCGGATTATTCAGTAAATGAATTCATTACATTTAATATTTTGGCTTTCATCATTTGTTACGTCCCAGATGTAAGGGTCTAGGGTCAGGGAGTAACAGAGAAAAGTAAACATAAAATTGGTTGGGGTGAGTGTGTGCCAGTCCCCTGCCCCACACGACAGACACGTTAAATTCCAAATTCAAGTAATTTATTAACAAAAGTACAATTGACAAAATGAAAATAGGAAGTAAAAATAGACTTCAGGAGGGGGAAAGGCCAAAACAACAAACAAAAGGACCCTCTAACTAGTTAGCGAGTAAAACTGTCTAAACTGACAAAATAAAAGAAAATTAACAACAGAAATGTACACTAACTCCCTAACTAAGCAAAAACAGGAGAAAAAAGATTCACAGAAATAAAATGGCACCCACCTCCCTACAGCTTCCAACACAAAGGGTCACGTAGCACAGCAACAACGCTAATGGCCTGTTCAGAAGGCTACAATAAGCCGTAACTTGAATAGGTTTACACAAGACCAATCTCTGATACAACAAACAAAGCAACACAGAGCAGGCAAGAGGAACAACACTCTGGAAGACGAGCTTCAATGTGGCAGGCATGTTGAACAACATTTGAGTTTGCAGCCTCTGCACAGTAACAAGCTGCAGGTGCGAGCGATCACCTCCCTCTCCTCCTCACCTGGTTGAGCAGCAGGTAACACACTGGACAACACAGAAAGAGAGAGAGAGCAAAAAGCACACCACAGCACACAGAATCCAACTATATTATATAAATAACCACGGAACGTAACACATTATACATGTTTATCTTTCTTCAGAAAAAAATATTAGTAAAATCCAAAATTTGAGCTGGGGACCTCTGATTGAGTTGACATGGAATGACCCAATAGAGAGGTGCAAGTGTTAGAGGGTCAAGTGTTTTTTTAATTTTTTTGTTTTGTTTTTGCAGCTGCATTCTGTATTAATTGTAAAGGTTTGATAGAAGTGGCTGGAAGACCTGCCAAGCGAGCATTGCAATAGCCCAGCCTGGATAGAACAAGAGCTTGAACAAGGAGTTGTGTTGCATGTTCTGAAAGAAAGGGCCTGATCTTCCTAATGTTGTATAAAGCAAATCTGCAGGACCGGGCAGTTTTAGCAATGTGGTCTGAGAAATTCAGCTGATCATCAATCACAACTCCAAGGTTACTGGCTGTCTTTGAAGGGGTTATGGTTGATGAGCCTAGCTGGATGGTGAAATTGTGATGAAGTGATGGGTTGGCTGGAACCACAAGCAGTTCTGTTTTGGTAAGGTTGAGTTGAAGATGATGGTTCTTCATCCAGCAAGAAAAAGTAGTGTTTATAAGTGCAGCACTGCTTTACAGCGATAACCAAAGAAATGCTATATTGCTGCGGTTCTGTAAGCGCCACCTGCTGTCAGAGAGTGAATCTGCATTCTCATTCAGCCCATCTGCTGTTTTTGTTTCGTTTAGATGTGTTTTATGGTAGTATAGTTTCTCAAAGCTTCAAATTTATAGTTTGCTTCAAATTTCAAAATTATACAATCTAATTTAATCAAAAACTGCTCATGCTGTATGTATGCAGTAGAGTTGTGACGGTGATGAAATTTTCCCACCGGTTAATCGGCGTGTGACAACACCGGTAATACCGGTATCATCGGGGGTGGGGTTTGTTGGGGTTTTCCCTCTTTTCCTCGCTTTCCTTCGCTTTAAATAGCTTGTAAATGCACATGCGCATTTTACTTTCACTTTCTAATTAGCGGCAATTGCTTGAATTGACAACAACAAGACTTATATTAAGCATAGAACTTTTGTTAAATTACACAAAGTTTAAATAAAGTGAAATATTAAAGTTTAAATAAAGTAAAATATTTAGTTTCTAAACTAAATCCTCCGCCATCGTCTTGTCTGTCTCACCTCACTCTTCTTGTCGGTCAACTCTCCAGACGTGATAAATGAAATCGGACTCCATATGCTGATCTGTGATGCGACTGTCGTTCGGCACGCTGCATTGAGCAGCCGCGTTCAGTTTTTAATTGTAGTGTCTGTTCTCCAACTAAATAAAAATTATTTTAATTACTATAAAAAAATCAAAAAGACTGTGGGGGCGGTGCCGCGTTGGGCAAGTGACGTAACCGGTGTTGCGGGTTAACACCGACTATCGCAGCAAGCCTAGTATCTAGCATCTTTGTTTGGATCGTGATTAAAGTGCAATGGTGGCCTCTAATTTTAAATGGAAAGAGCACGACGAAGTCTTAGTTTGTTTCTATGAAATGGTTTTTTTTTTTTTGGGATTTATTTTTAAAATTTCAATTTAGTTTTGTTATTTGACATTTCTGTTTCACACAAAAATTTTTTTTACAGCATTTTATCTAAGAAATCATAAAGCACGCCTTTTCATTTATAATTTGTCTTAAATGTCATTTTGTAAAAAAAAAATTGTGAGAAAATCGTATCGTGAAATCAGTATCGTCAATCATTGCTTCGGGAGTTATGTGAGTTAATTAGTCATCAAGTAGTTAAATGTGAAAATAAATTTAACTGATAAACAGTCACTTAGTAGTTGTTGTTTTTTTATTATTATTATAATTGCATATTATTACTAGTCTGTAATGAGCACCAGTAGTATTAGTGCAAGTTTAACACTTTCTTTGATTTCATTGGCAATAATCTTTGTTTAGGCATATGGCCAATTCATCTCTTTTGCATTTATGCAGTATACTGCAGCCAAACCCGAGAAAAGAGTCCAAAGTAGTGTTGCACGATATACCGGTACTAAAAAGGTATCGCGATATCCCGCTTTTAAAAATGGTACGATTCCTCATTTTACTAGTACCGGTACTTTAAGAATGACAGCGTTTTAATAAGAGCCATATTTCCTGAGTTGCGTCGACGTGCGACAGCAGGACAGTGTGTTCAACTGTGTAAATGATGTTAAAAAGAGTTAAGTGCAATAAACCTCGAAAAGAACTTGCGCTTTATCAGACACCTGAAACACGTCCACGGAAGTCCTCTCTCACAGACAGCATGCGGTTATGAATTCAGATCTCTTTCAGCAGTTACTGTGCTTCAGCTGTCAAATACACACACAATTATGTTAAAATGCCCGTTTTGGTTTATGACTGAAATGAACGTAAACATCTGAGAAAGAAAATGCATGTGTATTAATAAATTGGTCCGTGCAGCTCTTAAAGTGACAGCAGACTAATATTCCTGCTGCTGTCTGTCTCTACAATGTTAATCAAGAAAAATAGAAAATCACTCACTAATCTTGACTAACTTCACTAGCTGACTAAATCAGAATCGTGTTCGACTCAAGTGCACTGTTCAGTGGTTTGTCATTCAATGATGTTCTCCTTTGCAGTCCAGACCTTAATAATAGCTTGGGGTTCTCATGTGCTTCAGATCTGAGCCAGCTGCAGTGATGACAGACATCCAGCAGATGTTTCAGTCACAAAGGTCTTCCCTTACAAGGAAACTATCTCTGATTCTTGTGGTTCAGTAACCACCAACTTGACGATGAAGTGTGGAATAAGAGTTCATTTGTTTGGCAACTGCCACTCACCTGCTGTGATCATTTATAGTCAGAAAATGATGGCTGTAGAAGGAGAAAGCGAGTATGGGACTGAGGTGAGGAGGTTTGTAGAGAGACACTTATGTTGATGATGGTCTCAAATCGTTCCCCATAGGAAAAAAGCATCAGTGTGCTAAAAGCAACTCAAGACATGCTAACTCAATCTAACCTATATATCAGTGGTCTGATTTCACAAGTAAATTGGCGTAAGCTACGTGATAGGAGGAAGTGAAATGGCAGAATGTATGACTGAAGATTCTACAATAGTAAATTCAGAAGCACTGGCTGGTCTTCAGGTACTGGTCCGCCATGCTCCTTATGCAAAAGGTTGGTGCACATGCTGTACCTCCAGGGCAGTTTGACGACAGTGATCGCATCAAGTCCAGCATTTGGCCAACAAAATTTATTACTGGAGCATCCCTAATATTTATGCTAAATAGGTGATCAAATCAATACTAAATGTTTTTCTAGTAATTAATTTTTTGGTAACACTTTATTTCGATAGTCCACTTTAGACATTCTATTAACAGTAAGTAACTTTGCAACTACATGTCAACTAGCAGTTAGTAGAGTATTAGTAGACTGTCTGCTTAATATCTTCTAACACTTTCTTTGTCAACTTATTCTACTAACCCTAAACCTACCCTAACAGTCTACTCTGAGAGTTAGTAGATATGTAGTTGCAAATTAATGAGAATTAGTTGACATGTAGTTGCCATGTAGTTACAAAGTTACTTATAGTTAGTAGAATGTCTAAAGTGGACTATCAAAATAAAGTGTAACCAATTTTTTTTTACTCTCTGTATACACAAGTATCAGTATTTCTATTTGTAGTTAAGACCTTTGTGTCTTACTCTTTTAGATCAGTTTAGATCAACCAGGTAGCCAGATAGAGACCGCGGTGCGAGCATCTTACACACAACTGCCGATGCAATTATGTCCATGTGTTTTTTGTTATATATTTTGTTTTGTCTGTGTATTTCCTTAGATAATGGCCCAAAGGAAGTCATCCAGCAGACAGAACACTGACCCCTCAAGACTTGGGGACCTCCCTTTCCAGGGTAACGTATGACATGTGCTGAATTTAGCTTTTGTTTGTGGACGGTCTGCAGTGCAGATCTGAATGCTATACAGTATGTAACTGTTGAAAGTGTTGGGTTTGACTACACGTGTGCATCAGATATTTCTCCCTCCTTCTCAAGTGAGTACTGAAATGGATAATAATGAAATTATACCATTATGACTGAATCAGATCTTTCTTCCTTCAGAGTTCCCAGCTCCCAAGAACGAGCTGGTCCAGCGCTTCCAGGTGCAGTACTTGGGTCGTGTGCCGGTGACAAAGCCAGCTGGTAGGGAGTCCTCAGTTCATTAACTGCTATTATACTCTTATTTATTACACGGCTCTGTGGAATACTTGATTCTGATTGGTCAGTCGCAACATTCCGAGGTTTGTTATCCCTCGATAACAACCGGTAAAAGCTGATAACACAGGCTCATCCGGGTAACTGCAGTCAGCGCTGTACTCCTGCAGTTATTTAATAATGTCATCCTGGTATCGCGGACTCGCTCTCTCGTTTCATACAAATACAGCTGCTGCCATTTTGCGACAATTGTGTTGTACACTGTAATGGATTATAAGATAACTACTGGTAAGATTTTAAAACATTTTCATCTTAAATCAATATCTTTTATCGCCATAATTATTTATGTGGAGAAATGTTGTGTAAGAAGTGGTTTGACTGCACCGCATCCCTTAAATGTCCGTCTAGTTTGAACTTGCTGCTTGCTCGCAACTGCTGTCTTCACAGAATCTGTGTTCGAATATTTCAACTCAAATCAATATTTTGTGTCTAATTATTTACTTGTGTGGTAAGTAGCCGTGTAATAAGCGGGATAATGTACATCCAGCTGGTTGTCATCGCTGAATTATTCTGTGATAACATGTACATTATCCCTTACATACAAAGTGCACGCTTTACCTGCATTTCCCCCATTTTTGTGTAGCTATGTCATAACCTGTAAGCACTCAAAATAGCATCTATTTATTTTCATGTTTACATCAAAGTTAGCTGCCTGAAATTGAAGTTGTGTCTGTATCTGTCTCTTGAAGGCATGGATGTGATTAATGTAGCATTGGCGACTGCTCTTAACAGCAAAGACAACTGGACACCTGTGACTGTGAACGTGGCGTCCGCTACACTCTCTATTCTGACTTCTGAGGTCAGGTTTCTGTTTGTTGACCTTCTGCAGTATTTGAGTATTATATGTAGACCCCGACCGATGTGGGTTTTTTTGGGGCCGATACCGATATTTGGGAGTAAAAAAAAAGGCCGATATCGATATATCGGCCGATATTCTTTGTGTATATTATAGTACAGTACCAGTCAAAAGTTTGGACACTTTCCCATTCGTGTGTCCAAACATTTGACTGGTACTATATATAGAATACAGTATATACATAAACAGAATACATAAACACGTTTTTTGCAATGATCATTCAAATGTGGTGATCAAACACTTATAATGACCTGACAAAGATACGTAATGGAGGCAGGGCATTTAATTCACGGATTTGCGCTACTGTCTTCACACACGGACGAAACTTACTAGAGAAGTGTGAAGTGTGACATAATATACCTCTGTAAATAAATATAAATTCACGTCTCGCGCACTTTAATGCCCTTTGAATGTAACTTGTACGTTCCCTTGGAACTGGAATCATGGCGGAATTTCATGTGATGTCCACTTCGCGGGGCACTTACGGTCGAATAAGACGACGATTGAATGCTGCCTGAACAAGAGACCTCCTTACTGAAGTGAAAGTGTTGGCTGGTGTCACTATCTCACGAACGCGCCGGCGGATCTCCACCAAATTCGGGGGATCCCTTCAGCTCGAGGAGCCCTTTCGAACGCCACCCTCCGCGCATCAGTAGCCCCCCGGGACTGAACAAACTAAGTAATTACACCATTTCAAGCATTTTATCTGCTTTATATGTTCTGTAAAAAAAAATGTTCATATCGGCGGCATATTCACCGATACCGATATATCGGCGACAGGCTCATATCGGCCGATAATATCGGCTAAACGATATATCGGTCGGGCTCTAATTTTATATAATACGTAATGCTGTATCATAAAAATATGATTTGATAACCACACTGATATTTCTTGTCTCATTGTTACAGACGGAGGAAGTTCTTTCTGAATGTCGTGTGCGTTTCCTGTCATTTATGGGAGTCGGGAAGGATGTGCACACGTTTGCGTTCATAATGGCAGAGCGACCTGGAGACTTCATATGCCACATGTTCTGGTGTGATCCAAACGCTGCGAGTCTAAGTGAGGCCGTACAGGCCGCGTGTATGGTGAGTAACGACGTGTCTAGAACGTGGTTGATTTACTGGAAGTGAAGTTAATTCTTCACTGCACATGTGGAAGAGATTGGGGAGTTCATGGTTAGTGTTGCTCACTTATATATATTTATTATTGGTGTTTTTTGCCTTTAGTATATAGTACAGTGGAGAGGAACAAACAACCAACAGTGTAGCATTACTTTAACATTTTTTATTTATTTTTTTAAAGAGAGAGAGCTGCAGCAGAGGGGTCAGAAATTAATGACTTAAACTTCACTGTGTTTATGCTCTTCAGGAAGTCTCTCTCCCAAATGTAAAGCATTTCTGTTTGTCTGACTCAACCAGTGGTGAATGTTTGGGTAGGTTTTGGGGACTTTTCTACTGACTGGGGTGTTTGGGGAGACTTCTTTGAAGTTTGTTTGGTGCGGACGTTACAGTTCAGTTTTAACAGTGTAAATTAGGACAGAGTATAATCTGACAACCCTAGTTCATGCTGAAATATGCTATTCTTCTAAAATGTGTTGAGTTTCAGTCATATATTCCATCATTCACAGCTGAGGTATCAGAAGTGTCTGGACGCTCGGCCCCCCAGCGGTGGCAGCTCTTGTCTGCCCGGCCCGCCTGCTGACTCCGTCGCCCGCAGGGTCGGATCCAGTGTGAAGAAGGGTGTTCAGAGTCTGCTGGGTAGCTTCAAGAGGTCTGGATCACAGACACCCTAAAAAGGAAAACACTTCCTCCGCAGCGCTCACTGCAAATATGTGTTTGTCCTGTGTGTGTTTGTGTGTGTTTATGGGCCTAAAATTAGAGGGTCCTTCACAACACTTCAACTGTCCTCCTGCGGTTAGCGTGCAATAAGAACCAGAGGACACACAAGTTACATTGCCAGATATTCCATCGTTACACATTACATCTTCATTTGCTTTTTCTGTGTGTGTTTACATTAGCAGATGTACTGTAGAGGTGATTTAGCACTACTGGGTTTGAATGTGATTTACCTAGATTGGATTTTCAGTGTAATTGATGTTATGTGGACTACACTCTCTAATGACACTAAACATTACGCATGCTATCAAAAAACACTAAAATTAGCTTATATACTATGCAATGTGCTTTTTTTATTTGTTCTTCCTCCTCTGGCTTTGCATTGTGACACACTGAGCTAGCTTTGACTGCTTTTCTTTTCTTCTGAAGAATTGATCACTCTTCCCCAAACTCAGCATAGAGGCTGAACCGTGACTGAAATCAGTAGCAAACCCAGAGTTAGCAACATCTGTGTGCTGTTTACCCTAAAAACACACAGTCACTGTCATGTTCCAAACCTGCATGCATTCCAGAAGTCTGTTTTTGGCTCCACTGACTTTGACTTTATGAAAAAAGGTGCAGTTCCACATATATTCGACTTGCCTTGCTTACTGCAAGTCACAAAGCCTTTTAATTTCTTCCATTATATTTGATATTGATTTTCGTTAAAAATTAACTGATGTTACACATTACTGTATGTTTACCCACTCTTGTCAGTTTGTGAATTTAATTCGACCATTTTATTCATTTGTAAAATTAACATATCCTAGTCTTCCAAAGCGGATTTGCTCGTTAAGAAAGCCTCGCTTTAAATGAGCACTTTTATTTTTTATTTTTTAATCTTTATTTCTTTTACATTTTTGTGCGTGTGTTTTGATATGTTGGATGTCTTTATCTGGATGAAAAAAAATCATTTTTGATCATGATCAAAAACACAAACTTAACATCAGCAGTGTGTTTAACAAAGCATGTGGCCTACGCTGGTTCTCTCGAGGGTGCTCTGCGTTTGTTCCTGTGCAGTTTGTATACTGGTGTCACTGAAAAGGGTTTTTTTTTCGTCCCTCTTTTAAATTATATATTGAAGTCTACTGATTATCTGCAAATATTTACACGTTCTGTATTTGGGGGGGAAAAATTCCTTGGAAATGTATCTTAAATGCTTTGCAACGATGGATGTCTTGCTGTATGTAGATTTTCTTTTCTTTCAAATACACATTGTAACATATTACCATGTCTTTTAACTTTTAAGAATGTGTCGAAATCATAAATATGTTCTTTGATTGTTCCAGTTAATTTACATACTGAATGTAATACACTAATAGGGCCAGACAGCTAAATTTTTATTAGTTTTTCTGTCCCATTTTCATGTCTAATTACACCTGTCGTTAAAGGGAATTTTTTAATGCACTTGTTTTTTTGTTTTTTATTTTATGAAGCTGTCTCGTGTACCTGAATGCTTCATCTTGGCCCTGTTTATTCTAATGCTTTGTGTGTAGGTCTAGATAATGTAATGTGATGCTTAAAATGCAGTTGTGTTGGTAACACTCTAGAAAATCTTTATAGAAGAATAAGCATTCATGTACATGTAAATGTTCTGCATTACATCAAGAAATGGTAGCAAAGAAAATGTCCTTTTTTCAATTAAATACCATGAGGGTACTTTATGTTTGTGTGCCAAAAAGCACAGCTATAAAATCACTAACTTGAAATGTTACTTCGCTGATTGGTAAAATGGTAGAAATGCTTCGATTATATTTGCTTTTCAAAATAAGGCAAATTTTTAACTTTGATATTCTGAAAATTTAAGGTTCACTCCTATAAACGTTATCCCTTAAGTAGGATGATTTTGCCATCACATTTTTTTAAGGAGAGTTGAGAAGTTATTATTAAAATGTAAATTGGATGTCATATAGATGCATATAATGTGACTTGATGGAATAAAATGTTGAAAATGCATTTAAAGCTTTTCTTCATGACTTAGAAAAAGTAGCTTTAAGAACGGTCAGTATTTGGTGTTAGTCTGAGTAAATACAGTATATATACATATATAAGGGGTGTTTTCATACCGAACGGTTCATGGGGTAAATGCCAAATGGAAGTGATCAAGCTCTGAACAATCTTAGTTATACCAAAAATAGAAATGAATTGCATTAAAGCTTTAACCACAGCCCTAGTAGCAGGGGCGGATCTACCGGAATGGCAACTGCCACTCTAAGAAAAAGCTGTGCCACCCCAGAATTATCACAGAATAAAATATAAATGTAAGCAGTGTTTCATGTGCTACTTTTCAGCCGCGGCGATGACAGAGTAACGCAAAAATAATGGCCAAAACGCGTCTTTTAATAAACTGTGCATGATGGTTGCACGCGCACGCAGACGCCAGTGAGGTCGGCTTCATTATCAAATAGTGATGATTTGTTCGTGAACGAACCGTTCTTTTTGAACGAATCTTTTAGGTGAACGAATCGTTCTCGTTCACGTAATCCATTGACTCATATTTCTCGTTCACTGAAATTCCTCCCTCCAGAGCAGCGCGGCGCTATTGGCAGCGCATGCGCAGCTCGGTGAACCGGGTAGCTCTGTGGACTGTTTCATCCTGTCAAAGAATGACTAAACCTTGAGCCAATAGCCTTCGAGTTTGAGATGTGACGGAGCACGTGATTTGTTGAATGTAGTGAACGAACGAGTTTCTTTTGAGTCGGAACGAGATCGAGAGATCTTCTCGTTCATGAACGAGTTGAATGAGAGTGTATCGGGTCAGTCGGCCATTTAGCATATGCGCGCCGGCTCGCTTCCCCTGTCTGCGCGTCCTGAAGCGCTTGATCAGCGCCGCAGCTCCCCCGACTACAATGTCCAGCAAAACATCAGAATAATTGAAAACCGGTGAAATATCGGTTGGTGGGTACTGCCGAATGTCCAGCAATTCGTCTCTGGTGAAACTGATTGCAGGGATATAACTAAAGACAGGACAAACTAACAAAAACATAAAAACAACTGCGGAACACGCCACAGAGGCAGCCATCAGCGTCGGCGCCATCACGAATCACATTAAAATGTGAATTATGCAATAAAACCTTGCTTTGGTCATCTGATCAACTTATTTAGACTTTGTTTATTTAATGAGCAGATTATGCACACATTTTAATAAAGCCAAATCAATTTTTGTAACAAGTGAATACGTTCGTTGACTTAAGACACAACACATAAGATACTCTTTTTCGCCACCTGCTGGTGTATTTATGTAATATGAAGAAATGGTCACTGAACGAATCTGAACGAATCATTTTGGTGAACGAACTGAAAATGAATGAATCTCTTGAGAGAATCAAAATTTCCATCACTTAAAATGACTCTTACGAACCGGATCTTTTGAGTCAAAACCACAAAGCGCGGCTCAGTTCACTAACGAATTGTTTTTACATTTGTTTGTGAATCAGATAATTACTGCTTCTCAGCTAACTCAGAAGTCCTCTGAGAAATCTAATCTCGTCCAGATATGTCTGAGATTCATCGCGTAATTGTTTGGTGATCCGATTCTCCGACCGCTCGCTGCACTTTCATCATGAATATAAGCCGTGACAATAACATGAGATCAATAAGAAGATGCCGATCACGGAAACATAGCAGAGTTAGGTAAGTATCTAGTCGTATTGCAGTTTTCTCGATTGTTAATATAACTGATTTTAGTTGTTTTTTCCCCAAACCATTAATTCAGTTTTCAAAACAAAGACACATTTCTCAAAAAGTTTAACAATGAGTAGCCTAAAAACTGATGACACACCAATCAGAATCTCTGCATCCTAACAACGGAGAGAGGAGAGAGCTGATTTGTTTGTGAATCAGATAATTACTGCTTCTCAGCTAACTCAGAAGTCCTCTGAGAAATCTAATCTCGTCCAGATATGTCTGAGATTCATCGCGTAATTGTTTGGTGATCCGATTCTCCGACCGCTCGCTGCACTTTCATCATGAATATAAGCCGTGACAATAACATGAGATCAATAAGAAGATGCCGATCACGGAAACATAGCAGAGTTAGGTAAGTATCTAGTCGTATTGCAGTTTTCTCGATTGATAATATGATTTTAGTTGGCACTTTTTTCCCCAAACCATTAATTCAGTTTTCAAAACAAAGACACATTTCTCAAAAAGTTTAA